GAAATAGAAGCTATGGCAACGAAATTTGATATTGAAAAGTTCAATGGGAGAAATTTCTCATTGTGGAAATTAAAGTAATGTCGTCAGTCTAGTCTTCGATGACGTTGCAACTGCTGTTCTACAAGAAGAAAATCGGCGCAAGAACAAGGAAGATAGACAAGTAAATCTGCAACAAGCATAAGCTTTAACAACGATGAGAGGGAGATCAACAAAACGTGGCCAAAGCAGCAGTCACAAACATGGTAGATCAAAGTCGAGAAGCAAGAAGAATTTAAAGTGCTACAACTGTGAAAATAATGGTTACTTAAAGAATGATTCTTAGAGTCTAAATAAAAACTCCAATCAACAAGGCAATACTGCAAACACTTCAGATAATGAAGATACTTTATGTTGTGAAGCGTCAACCACCGTGGAAGGCAGAAAAAGTTTTGCAGATATATGGCTCATTGATTCGGGAGCAACATATCACATGACCTCAAGAAGAGATTGGTTTCATCATTATGAACCTGTCTCAGGAGGATTTGTGTATAGTTGCAATGATCATGCTTTAGAGATCGTTGGCGTGGGAACCATCAAATTGAAGATGTATGATGGAAAAATTAAAGTTGTTCGAGATCTACGGCACGTGAAAGGCCTGAAGAAAAATTTATTATCCTATGGATTGTTGGATAATAATGCGAGCAAGATTGAAACACGGAAAAAAATCATGAAGATGTTCCGTAGAGTGCTTGTGGTGATGAAAGGCGAAAAGATAGCAACAAACTTGTATATGCTGAAGAGAGAGACTTTGCTAGAAGCAAAAGCCTCTATTGCCCCATGTAGTTCAGATTCCGCAATGCTATGACATCAGAAACTTTGACACATGTCAGAACAAGGAATGAAAGTCCTTGTGGAGAAAAAGCTACTTCCAGACTTAACAAATGTATCACTTACTTTGTGTGAGCATTGCATAACAAGTAAGTAGCACCGGTTAAAATTCAACACGCCAAATTCTAGAGGCAAAAGTATTCTAGAATTGGTTCATTCTGACATATGGCAAGCACCAGTTACATCCCTAGGCGGAGCAAAATACTTTGTCTCATTTATTGATGACTACTCCAGGAGATATTGGGTGTACACTATTAAGAAGAAGTCAGACGTGTTTTCAACTTTCAAAAACTTCAAAGCGCGGGTAGAACTTGATTCTGGAAATAAGATCAAGTGTTTCAGAACAGATAATGGAGGAGAATACACAAGTGAAGAATTTGATGACTTTTGCAGGAAATAAGACATCAAAAGACAGTTCACAGTGGCGAACACTCCTCAACAAAATGGAGTGGCAAAGTGGATGAACATAACCTTGTTTGAAAGAACAAGAGCAATGTTGAGAGTTGCAAGCCTAGAAAAATCATTTTGGGCAGAAGCAGTCAATACCGCCTGTTATTTGGTGAATCGAGCTTCATCAACTACAATAGAGCTGAAGACACCAATGGAGATGTGGACCGGTAAACCATCTGATTATTCAAACCTCCATGTATTTGGAAGTATAGTGTACGTGATGTACAACTCCCAAGAAATTTCAAAGTTGGATCCAAAATTCAAGAAATACAAATTTTTGGGGTATGCTGATGGTGTAAAGGGGTATCGCTTGTGGGATCCCACTGCCCATAAAGTGACAATCAGCAAGGATATTATCTTTGTAGAAGATAAAATACAAAGAAAAGAAGACGATGATATCGCTGAAATGTCAAAGACTACACAGATACATGTGGAAAAGGAGTTTGAACAAGGAGATTCTTCTGAAACAGAACCAACACATGATGAACAAGAACCAGAGAGTTTGGAAGCTCCAACAACTCGTCAATCAGATCATGTAAAAAGACGTCCCAATTGGCACTCAGATTATGTTATATAAGGTAATATTGCATACTGTCTTTTAACATATGATAGTGAGTCATCAACATACCAAGAGGTAATAAACAGCTCAGATGTTTCACTGTGGATGATGGTGATGCAAGAAGAAATCGAAATCCTTCATAAAAATAATACATGAGATCTTGTGCCACTACCATAAGGAATGAAGCCAATTGGTAACAAATGAGTCTTCAAAATCAAGCGAAATAGTGACGATCAAGTTGAGAGGTATCGCGCAAGACTGATGGTAAAGGATATGCTCAAAAAGAATGTATTGATTTCAATGAAATCTTTTCTCATGTGGTTCGACTAACAGTTCGAGTAGTTTTGGTAATGTGTGCTACATTGAATTTACATCTAGAGCAGCTAGATGTTAAAACAACTTTTCTTCATGGAAATCTTGAAGAAGATATTTACATGCTCCAGCCTGAAAGTTTTGAAGAAAAAGAAAAGAAGAACTTGGTTTGCAGGTTTAACAAATCTTTGTACGGTCTAAAGCAGGCGCCGAGGAGTTGGTATAAGAGATTTGATTTCCTCATTATGTGCATTGGATACAATATACTTAATACAGACCATTGTGCTTATTTCAAGAGGTTTGGTGATAACGATTTTGTTATATTGTTGTTGTATGTGGATGACATGTTGGTTGTAGGACCCAACAAAGATCATATTGATGAATTGAAGGCACAACTGGCTAGGAAATTTGAAATGAAGGACTTGGGATTAGCAAACAAGATTCTAGGGATGCAAATTCACCGAGACATAAGTAATAGGAAGATTTGGCTTTCACAAAAGAATTACTTGAAGAAGATCTTGTCACGATTCAGCATGCAAGATTGTAAGTCAATTTCTACCCCTCTTCCTATTAACTTCAAATTATCCTCCAATATGAGTCCTAGTAGTTTATTAACAAAATCGATGCACTCCTAAAGTTCAATCTCTAAACCGATGTCGTTTTAGACATCAATGATCGCAACAAAATGATGTCGTTTTGTCTATATCATTATAATGGCGGAGAGATCCTTCTATGTCATCGTGCCATTAAAATTTAACGGTCCAAAAACATAATTGAAGTCAAAACTAAAATTTAATGCTATAATTGGATAAATTAAAACTTCAGCGATGTGAACGATACGATACGATACACTATCTAAAGTTCCATGATATATGTTGTAGTTTTCCTTGAAACTATTACATTTTCACTCTCGATAATTTTGCAATTTAGTTCATGTACCTTGAAAAATATTTTCTAACTTTGACCTTATTTAAATTATCATTTTATCTTAAAGATCATTTCATGTACAATATTAGGGGTTATCATAGGTTGGGTTGAGTTTTTGATCACTCGAACCTGATACGAGTATAACACTTCTCTCATGATATCTAATTCAGTTCGAGTTTACGAAAGTTGCACCGAACTTAATATTTAAAATAAATATATGTACCCGATCATATATAAATATATATATATATTCATTTTGTAAAATAAAAACCTAATTCATAAAATATATATAAATGGGTATTATAACAATTATCCCTAAATTATAAAAAGGTTAAATATATTATTATTTTTGAATAGAGTCGGGTCGAATAATTTTTCACTCAAAATTTGAATCCGATCTGAACCAAATCTTAATTTTCTTTAAAAAAAAATTAAGCCTTTAAGGTCAGATTGAAACTCGTCAGGTTCAGGTCAAGTGTATATCCTAGACGATGTGTCATTATTATTATATATTTTTATATTAGTGTCGATGATATTTATCTTTTATTATTGTATTTGTTTTTTATTAATTTTTTGAGTTATTTGAAAAAAATGTCAATATCTTTTTTTATTTAATGATTAATTTATATTGTATAATAATTCTAAAAATATAAATTAATATGTTTAATTTGAAAAAAAAAATAGAACATAAGACTCTGATGAACTTAATAAAAAGAATTAATAAATTAACCTTAACCCATATTTATTAGTTAGCATAAATTTAAATAACATAATTTAAAAAAGTAGCACATGTTCATCCGAATCACTGCACATGTATTGAAGATTAGCTTCTTTTTCTCTCATAAGAGAGTTGATTGCTTGTTTTAATGGTAAAGAAGATATTGACAAGTTGACCCAATTAAAAATTACTTTAATAGATAAATTGGATTAAACGATTAATTGAACTATATAATCAATTTTTAAAGATAAAAAAATTTAATAGTTATTAAAATTTATACTTTTAAACATTTTTCAATACATAAATGAGATTAGAGAATGTCACATCATAATTCTATTATATCAATATATAAACTTTCGAGCTTTCAAGAGTTTGAACTTGTTTAGGCATTAATTTCAATTTTGGGTTGGTATGTTATGAAAATTATATGTTTGAATATGTTTAAGTAGTAATAATTTTTAGTTTAAGATTTTGATCATTTTACAATTATAGATAATTAGATGTTGTATGAATGCTATAATTGATAAATATAAAAGAATATATTTAATTATTTATAGAAAATAGAGTACATGATTTCAATTCGACGAGTTTTGATTTAATTTTATAGTGTCAAAATTTTCGAAATTCGAATTCATGTCGTTTTGGGTCAAATCCTATTTAAAAATGATATTTTTCTCTTTATATTTTTTAATTAAATTTTTATTTTATTAAATAAGAATATATATATATTCATGTTAGATCAAGTTGAATATTTATATAGATTTTATCTTGAAATCAAGTCAAATTTTAAATATGTTAAAATCTTTTTATATCTACATCAAATAAAATAACATATAAAAATTGTAATACTCATATCAAATTTCAATAAATCAAAAACTTAATATATATGTCCATCCCCAACTCAAACTACGATACCGTTTCAACTGTCAATTTACCTAACAGAAATCGTTTATTTTAAGCATACATAATTACTTGGACGTTACAATAAACTTTGTTTTTAATAGTATAAAGTAATTATAAAATAATAAAATTTATTTTATAAAAATTAACTCATTGATAGGATATATAGTGTGTAGTTTGAATTTAAAATCTAATATTTTATTATTCACATGAATCTAAATTTTTATGTGCAAAGAAAGTATAAAGGTAAAAATGGTAGTAATTCATAATTTTCCAGCTAATTTGGAGCACGAATTTAGTTGGCGTTTCCGGGAATTTACAACGGGACTGTAAATAAATTCATTTTTGTTCTTTTTGTTTTGCTTCAAATGCGGATAAAGCAGAATTTAAGTATTTTTGTGTGTGTGTGGAAATCCAAAGGACAATTCAGCAATAAAAGACTTCGAGTCACAGATATTAATACAGTGAGCAAAGAGCAGAGGCAGATCTCAATTCTTACACAGCAATGTACGGTAAAGCTGCAATCTGCTTATCATTCGTGATTCTCTTCCTCGTTTCATGTTCAATCTATGTCGGCACCGTTGATTTCAGATCCTACTTCTTCCCTCTCCTTCAGTCGCCCACGGTTACACGCTCGCTCTGTGCTACCGGCCGCCCCCTCCGCGTTTACATGTACGATCTCCCCAGGAGATTCCACGTCGGCATGATGGACCGTTGGAGCTCCTCCGAAGGAGCGGCTCCCTTGACGGCGGAAAATTTCCCGCCTTGGCCATCGAATTCCGGGATCAAGAGACAGCACAGTGTGGAGTACTGGTTAATGGCGTCGCTTCTCCACGGCGGCGACGTTGTGGAAGGTAGGGAGGCGGTTAGGGTTTCGGATCCTGAAACCGCGGAGGCCTTTTTTGTTCCCTTTTTTTCTTCGCTGAGTTTTAATACGCACGGCCATAATATGACGGATCCTGAGACGGAGGTTGATCGCCGATTACAGGTACTGGGAATCTTAATTGGTCACTTTGCGCTATGGCTTAATGCGTTGTTTGGTGATTAGGGAGATGGATTCTAGTTGTTTCAAACCAAAAATGCATAAATTAAGTTCATTTAGTTACGTTTTGTTTTTAGTTCCAGATTGAAGCACTTTAATGATAATGAATTCCTTGAAAAATATGAGACTTTAGCTATCTGGGTTTTGATAGTTACATCAGCTGAATTCAAAACAAAAATAAATTCATTAATCGCTCTTTTATTTCGTTTTAACATTTCCCAATTATAAAAGAGAATCATGTTTGGGACTTTAGGTACATTTACCAATTGATTGTTATATGAAAATGAAATGTTGCTTTGTCTGTGCTTTTGACATGTTAAAGAATTAGCCAATGGTTTTGAGAACTATCATTTTTGTAATAAGAAAGGTTGATGGAATAATAAATTCATTAACTGCTATTCGATAATGGAATGTAGCTTTCAAACATGTTCAACACATGATAACATAAGTTAATCTTTTTTTATCATGATGCATCTAATCCTTGGGGCTTGGTCAACGGTTTCGTTATTGATGGTAATGATTTCAAAGGGAATTAGAACTTCTACATGCTTCCTTCTATTATTTTGAAGTGTGTAAATAAATGCTTATTGCAGTTCTGTTAAGTATTTTTCTTTTAAAGTAGCACTACATGCTCTCTTTTACAGTTTTACTGACTGAAAGCAAGCAGCGGTTGCTGGTTTGATTATTAGTAACTTGCACCGGTTGTCTCAAATATTATCATGCCTAACTTGTTAGAATTCCGTAATGCTAATGCAAATTATATGAAAAGAGTTATTTTTCCCCTTCTGCTGCCAATGAGTTTCTCTAGTTTGTAGTTATTGCTTTGTGTTTTTACTCGACTCTACGACCTGGGTGGAATGATCTTATATTTCAGTTTTCTGGAGTAGACTTATATTGATGGCTGTGGGATATAAAGTGCTTCTCATTTAAAGTTGATAACTGTTGATTATGGTGAGACGTAAATTGCTTTCTCGTTTCAGGTTGAGTTACTGGAATTCTTGCAAAAATCCAAGTACTATCAAAGATCTGGAGGCAGAGACCATGTAATTCCCATGACACATCCAAATGCTTTCAGATTTCTTCGACAAGAGTTGAATGCATCACTCCTTATTGTTGTAGATTTTGGCCGCTATCCTACAAATGTGTCAAGTTTAAGCAAAGATGTTGTTGCTCCGTACGTACATGTTGTGGACTCCTTCACAGATGATGACCCTTTGGACCCATATGAGTCTCGAAATACACTTCTTTTCTTCCGAGGAAATACTGTCAGGAAAGATGTATGACAGTTTTTAAAACACATATATTCCATTCATAGAAACTTATGTTGAATTAGATAATGTTCTTAACTCAAGATCATTTCTTTGCAGCAAGGCAAAATTCGAGTCAAACTGGCGAAGATGTTGTCCGGTATTGATGATGTTCATTACGAGAAGAGCGTAGCAACTCCAAAAAACATTATAATGGTATGCCTTCTTGTCTTGGACCTTGGAAATATACTATTTTCTAAGCATTCAGAAAACGAAGTGGTCATCCCACTTTCCAATTTGCATATTTTTTTAGTCAAAAGACTCGAATGAACTTGCTTGCCGATGTGTGTTATGTTTGCTTTTTCACAACGATGAGTACCAATTTTTAGTTACCATGTCTGCTGTGATTTGTACTTTTCTTTGGATGGTTTCAACGCGGTGTGATACTTCTGGCACTTAGTTTAAGACAATAATTTTGTGTTGCTAATCTATGAAATGGAAAGTATCTGCCACCATATTACAGTCTGAAACCAAATAATCACATTTTCAAGCTGGAGGACAATTTTGGAGATGCTTTGCAATTTTTCTAATAGATTTTTTGTGCTAAAAGTATGCTAAATATCTTATTTCTTTCACTTTCTTTTGTGTTAGTCTACAGAGGGGATGCGTTCGTCGAAGTTCTGTCTGCATCCTGCAGGTGACACACCTTCATCTTGCCGACTGTTTGATGCTATTGTGAGCCATTGTGTTCCCGTGATCGTCAGTGATAATATTGAGCTCCCCTATGAGGATGAAATTGACTACACTGAATTCTCAATTTTCTTCTCTATGAAAGAGGCATTGGAACCAGGTTATTTGCTCAATCAGTTGCGTCAATTTCCAAAGGACCGATGGCTTGAAATGTGGAACAGGCTCAAGAATGTTTCCCATCATTTCGAGTTCCAGTACCCTCCGAAGAAGGAAGATGCTGTCAATATGTTATGGAGACAAGTAAAACACAAGCTTCCCGGGGTCCAACTTGCTTTACACAGAAGTAGAAGATTGAAAATTCCAGATTGGTGGCAACGGAGGCGATGATAACAGAACCTTGTTTCAACACTGTACATCACCGTATTTATCTCATTTATGGCATCTGATAGCGGGTAACGAGCAAAGGTGCATGGAAATCACAAGCCAACACATCATCATGAGCCATCTTTACCGAGCTCGTGACTTACGGTGCATAGTTTCGAGCTTTTTTTTCTCTCTAAGGAAGCAGTCAATTAAGATTTGAACTCGGTTAATATTGTTTTTCATCATTTGTTTGTGCGGATGTGGGTTATAGATAGTGTAATGACATAGGATATACACTTCCAGAGGTGGTTTTGTTTAGGTTCTAATATTTGCATTCAGATCTTGTACAAGTGTATTCAAAGTGATCAAGCTAATTCATGTATCAGTACCTCAGAAACTTCATTTGATTTTGTCTTCTACTTTTGAATAAACATTTTTATTATTGAAATTATACTATTTTATCTTGTTTTACATCATATATTTCTTTTTAAATAATACTATTTTATCTTATACATATTATCAATAAATAATTTTAAATTATTAGAACATTTAAAAATATTAAAAGTTTCAAAAAAAAATAAAGAAAATATAAACACGTCAAATTATTTAATGAAATTAATGAAAAAAGGTTGACCATGAGAATAAAAATATACATTTTGAAAATTAAAGACAAAATAATCCAATTATAATAAAGAGATGAAATATGTCATTATCTATACATTTGACCAACATGATTAGTTTTCTTAGCTCTGATTAGAGCATACCTAATATCAATTTGCTCCACCAATATTAGTGGATATGAATCTTCTTTGGGGTTCGCTGTTGGAGGATACCCTTTTCTTGTGGTTCTTCGGCTCTTTGCCTGTAGGTCATACCTCCCTTGTGGTGGGATCCAGCATGGGTTCTTCATAATAACACATATTATACTCGATCTTTTTTTAATACTATCTATTCTCTATTTACGGTTCATATTCAGAGATTATGATTGTCTAATATTATGTTTAAATTTCAAAGATAAATTCTCGTATTTATCGGGTACGTATTTTGAACACTAAATTTTTTTCTGAGCTAACATATTAGGTTTGAAAATGAAATCAAGCTCGAAAATAAAATTAAGTCGGTTCAAAGCATAAGACTCACATACACTACCCGTTAGTAGGCCCAAACACTGGTGACCCGACTTGCCCAGTCTTGACCCGAAACTTGATTTTAACCTGAATCCAACCCCCACTGCTGAGAAAAATCATTCTAAGTTTTAGGATGTATGGATTTTAAATTCGAATCTCATCGTATATAAATTATACATGAATTCTCTTTAAACTTATTATGATGGAGTAATTGACTCCGATTATAATTATTCAGATCGTATTGTTTGAAACTAGAATTGTGATTATACCACCAAATGTCTGCATCTATTACTAGTCTAATTCAGCAAGTGTATGTTGTTGCACAGGGCACCAGCTGATTCTGAAGTTCTGACCAGCGAAGCATTCCAGTAATTAGGCAAGCTCTTTTTCAATTGGGTAATAGAATTTTAAAACTTACTAAATCTACCACTTCCTCCTCTGAGAATGATTCAGTGGTGCTTGACACCTTGCTATTAGTGGAAACAAATCTTTAGTCTGCAGGAAAGTTTGTTTCATGTGTGTGTGTTTGGAGGTATACAATGATTATGTATTAAACTAATCAATATCTAACAATGTATTCCACTTATGGGCCCAAAAGGATGATCCCAGAAGCCAGACACCTCTACTATAGAATATATATTCTCCCACAAAAGATATGCTGCTTTCTGTATTATTTGTTCCAAATAAATCACCTTTTTTTTTGTTAGTGACGTTTTCGGTTTGATGGATTTGATTTTAAAAAAATCAAAATTAATTTAAAACATCAATCACATACCTTAATTAATCAATCAATTGAATTAACCAATTAAGGAAAATATTATTCACTCTAAAAGTTTTGAATTCGAGTTGTTGCATCTACAAGTATGTGTAGGTCTGAGTGTCGTTATATAAATGATTAAAAAAACTTATGAACATATATTAGAACTAATATAGAAAGACGTTGTGTCTTTTCGACGTCTTCCAAAATGTGTTAAATAACCCGACAACTTTCGATTGACAATGTAACATTCACCCTATTTGAAAAAGTATTTCTTTCACTACTCTATAAAACAAATTCACTTTTTCCATTACATTATCCTAACAAAATTACCGAATTTGTTTACATAGTTCATCCATTATGTATTATGAAATTATACGTAGATTTCTGATTCTTGAAATATAATATACACATTCATCTGGAAAAAAAAAGTAAATTATAAAAAAAATAATTTCGTTAATGTATTGTTTTATTTTATAAACTTTAATTTTATTTGACACTATATTAGTCAAAAAGGCATTTTAAAAACATACACACACTAATACTGAATAATTATATATTTTATTATTTTTTAAAATTATTATCATTGTATCAAATATAATTAAAACACGCGTATTTCAAAAGAGCGAATCTATTCGCAATGCTTTTGTGTTTGACTAACCCCACACCATCGTCAGGTCTACTGATAGGAGCTTAAGGTTAAGGTAGTTGCTATTTAAGCCAGCCTCATTATTATTATTTCCGTAATTTTTTATATAATTTAATGATTATTTGATAGTTTTCATAAATTTATTATTTAAATATTTTATTCTTTAAATTTTCTACTTTATTTTTCTAGTGGAATCCTAAAGGTCTACGCTGGTGGACTTCATCATGAACTAGATTTTGACAATAAACAAAACCAAGGCAACAAATCATGAAAGGGCGCTACTAAAGCTGCCAACAATTACTAAATATACCAGGTCAAACCCCACTTACTAAATAATAAATATACCAAGTCAAACTTTCATTTTTTTTAGTACGATAGCAAAATTCATATCCTTTTATTTCCCTACTAGGTGCATTTTAGCAAAACTAATTTTTTAACTACCGCCATTTTCTCTATAAATTCAACATCCTATTTTTTTTTTAATTTTTGGTGGACCCACGCGTGGATTTTAAACCACAACACAATTTCTTTTAAAAATTTCTCCCTTATTACCAAGCAAATACATTCCCAATAAAAACTTCTAACACCTCGTCTCTACGTTTTTATTAAATTTTTTCCCTTGTCCTCCACCACCTAAATTTTTTTATGATTGACCTTTTGCTTTTTTTTTAAAAAAAAATAAGAATTTGATTATTTATTTTTCTATTTTTAAATAATGTGCATTTTCATTTTCTTCTTTAATATTTATTTAAAAAATTTCTCAATATGTGCAACATAAATATTAAAATTTTATTCGTGTATTTCCTCCCCTTCTGTTGAAATTCTCCTCCTATAATATGCTGCTTCCCAATCCTTGAATTTGTTGATGGAAACAATATTAAATTCAGCCCCTTCCTCGTGTGTTGTAGGGTATAGTAGTTGAGCATGGTGGGGTAGGGCTCTTGTCGGGCGCACGAGGGCATAAGCAGCTATGGGGGAACCGAAATGTTGGGTGGGGTTTTGGTAGATTTAGTAAAATAATTGATATAGTTAAATTAACCCATCATGAAACCCTATTTAATTAACTCATTATCATAATTTGTTTGATTAAAAAATTCTCAATCATGGTTAACAAACCTAACCACTCATCATTTAAGTAATTAACCATGATTGTTTTTCCATGTGCTATATATATACACTCACACGATCTATCTCAAATACATTCCATTAAGCTTTTGCTGCAGAAAAGGAATGAAGCTTTTAATGGCGGCAATGATCAACCTTTCACTGTTGTCCCTTTTATATGTTCTCGCTGTACATCAAACGCCATGGCCTTTCAATTTGCTAGTGTTCTCGTTCTTGTCTGTTTGGCCTTTCTTGATGACTTACTGGCTAGTCCCCGGGGGGCTGGCATGGAGAAACCACCACGTTCACTCGCCACATCTACGTGGTCCGGTCGGTTGGCCGCTGCTCGGAACCTTGCCGCAAATGGGTACGCTAGCAAATCGAAAGTTAGCCGACGCGGCTGCTTCGCTAGGCGCGACGAGATTCATGGCATTCAGTCTAGGAACAACGCGTGTGATCATCAGTAGTCACCCGGAAACCGCCTGGGAAATTCTATCTGGACCGTCGTTTTCGGACCGCCCGATCAAGGAGTCGGCTCGTTCGTCGATGTTCGAAAGCGCCATCGGTTTCGCGCCCTCTGGAAAATACTGGCGCCACCTACGGCGTCTCGCCGCGAACCATATGTTCTCCCCTAGGAGAATCGCTTCCCTCGAGCCCCTCCGCCAACGAGTGGCCGACGAAATGGCGGCGGAAGTGCAAAAGGAAATGAAAGACAAAGGATTTGTGGAGTTAAGGGGGATATTGCAAAAGGGTTCATTAAGTAATATTTTAGAGAGTGTGTTTGGGGATTGTATAATAGACAAGGAAGAGTTAGGGTTAATGGTGAAAGAAGGTTATGAATTGATAACAATGTTAATTGGGAAGACTACTTCCCTCTAGGGTTTTTGGACATTCATGGGGTGAAAAAAAGGTGTCGTAAATTGTCTGATAAAGTAAGAAATGTTGTGGGTCAAATTGTGAAAGAAAGACAAAAGTGTGGGGCTGATCAGATTAAAAACGGTGGAAATGGTTTGCTTAGTGCTTTGCTAGCTTTGCCTAGAGAAGAACATTTGAGTGACTCGGACATGACTTCTGTTCTGTGGGTAAGAACTCTTTTTCTCGTCCGAAATCAATCTTAAATCGAATTTTAGACTTAATCAGGATTAAAACGAAGTTCAACGCTATTTTATTTTTCAGGAAATGATATTTCGGGGTACCGACACGGTTGCAATTCTCTTGGAATGGATAATGGCAAGGATGGTCATGCACCAAGACATCCAAGCTAAAGTCCAACAAGAGATTGGCTTCGTCATCGGAGATCGTCGCGGTCACATTCAAGATTCTGATCTCTCGAATCTTCCGTACCTTCAAGCGGTGGTGAAAGAGGTTTTGAGGATGCATCCACCGGGACCGCTTCTCTCATGGGCTCGTCTAGCCACCCATGATGTCCATGTCGGGAAGACCTTCATCCCGAAAGGCACCACCGCAATGGTCAACATGTGGGCCATTACCCATGACCCGTCTATTTGGAGAGATCCGTGAACTTTTAGACCCGAAAGATTTATCGAAGAGGAAGATGTTCCCATCATGGGATCCGATCTGAGGCTAGCACCTTTCGGGTCTGGTCGGAGGGTTTGTCCCGGCACTAGGGTTAACTACCGTGTGTTAAAAGCTTCAAAGTTTGGCAACCAACTTTGGAAAATGTTTTTTTCAAAGTTTGGTAAATGTTTCTTTGAAAAATGTTTTTCAAAGTTTGGTAAAATTTTGGTAGATGTTTGTTGAAAATAGGAATCGGTAA